ATTAATAAAACTACAAATAAATTAATATGTTTGTGAGTAGGAATGAGTCTCTTCTTTGTATTTCTCTTAAATCAAACAAACTATTAGAGACGTTAACGGGGCTCCGTGAGGTCAAAGAGTCCCTCCCCATCTCCATCCTCGCAAATGGCTGGGATGAGAAACTCCATGGGAATTTTTGACAAGAAATAGATTTTACCTCCCATTCCCCGTCAATTAATATCAAAATACAAATTTTTTACATATAATTAATTAATATTTAATTATAATAAATAAAATTCTAAAAATCCAAGTACAATTAATTAAAATTCTTTAAATATAAAATCAAATATAAATTGTCCAAACATAAATAAAAATTAATTCAACATAAATAACTAAATCAACAAACTTGTTGATAATGAATTGGATTAATTTTTATGGGTTGGGTTGAGTAAAATTGAGTTAAATTTAATTTTTATTGAATTAGATTTAAGTTTGAAGATTGAATTAAATTTAAAATAAAATTAATTTACATATTTTTTTAATTTTTTGCGAGGATAGGAATTCCTATAGGATTTTGTGAGATGAGGAAAATTTCTTGCTGAAATTTCGTAAGAGAATGCTCTCTGAGACGAGAAAGAATAATTTTTCCTATAAGACCCATGAATATCGAGACAAATTGTCACCCCAACAAACTATAATTAGATGATGACTTTCTAACAAACCTAATCAAACATTGGAGAAAGGCAATAAGCCCACTAGGCAAAATGCCCTTCTGTCTGCCCAAGCCCAGCTTTATGAATGTGAACTCTGAACAAAGTAAAGTTACTACTCTGCCGAGGCCAGCCCTTTCGTGTGGATTTCGAATAAGTTTATCCACTTTTCTTTCTTCATGTACTCGAGTTTGGATCTTTTATTTCGCATTATGGGCTTTAGATTATTTTTTTTTCATTATAGGAGTCGAGGCCCAGATAAACGATGAAAATGGAACTTAGATTGGTTGGGCTACTACAGTTTCTAGCAACGGGCTTCCACTGCAACAAAATAAGCAAAATGGACCCTGAATGAAATAAATAAATAATTCACCACTTTTCCTTTTCACTTTTTTTTTTTATTTACGGTCTCTTTTTCTCTTTTACTATTTTAGTTTCGTACTTCATTTATCTTTTTACGATTTATCATATTACGAGAATAATAGTAGTATTTTGAGTCAAATTTTATCTTAAATTAATTATTATTTCTTTGTTTATTAAAGTAAATAAATACTATAATATTTTTTAATGCTTCAATTATTAACTTTACCATGAAAATTAATTCCTTTTGTTTTTATTTTATTTTTAAAAGTAATACAAATAAAAATATAAATTATTGGCTAAGTTAATACGTAAAAAATGACTATTTTTTAAAAACAAAAGAAAGTAATATATTTACTTTGTAAACCTCAGGCATTTAACGCTCGCGTGGTACTAGTGAGGTCTTACGCAAGAGCAGTTTAAATTGACTTTTTATCCTCCCCAAGCAAACCGGCTAAATTACTGCTTTGACTTAAGGGGAATTAAAATCTTTAAAGTGTATTTAAGGTGGTGTTATAAGAATAATTTTTTTATTTTATTTTTTATATAATTTT